TGACTGTCCAAAGTTACAATGTCACTGAAGAAAATGACATGACTTTTTCACACGTATTGCTGTTGTAGCATCCCCATGGTCACGTGATCAAAATTCAGACAATTGGCAACTGGTTTGTATTTATGACATTTGCCACGTCCCTGAGTCACGTGATCATCTTTTGCAACCTTCTGACAAGCAAAGTCAATAGGGAAACCAGATTCACTTAACAACTCTGTTACTAACTTAACAACTGCAGTGATTCACTTAACAACTGTGGCAAGAAAGGTTGTAAAATGAGGCAAAACCTACTTAGCAAATGTTTGTTAGCAATTTTGTTGAGGACTACCTGTATATTTTTCTACAGCTAAGGTATATAATTTGTATATTACCCTAGTGGAATAAGTAGCAATTTGACAATATTTGCATTCCATCATTTTTCTTGTGAAATATTCTGAGATTTGGTTTATTTGTATTGATTTATTAATTAATTTCCTGCAAATTTCCAGGAAAAAAGTTTGATGAAAGGGACAAGAATAAAAGGCCTGGAGAAATCAGAAGTTCTTTTCTTTGCCCAGAAGATTACAGCAAATATAATTCTCTGTTGTTGGCATTTCACACTTAGAAATTAATCTTTTAAAAAAAACTTTGTTAGTCATCTTGTTGTGACATCACTTGCAAGAGGGCTTGTAAAATGGTCACAGTCTCTGTAGGGATATAAGCATTGGGAATATAGAGATTAAATCTATCTGATTTTTCAGTGCACGTTAATTCAACTTTATTCCAATAATAATTGTTAATCATTATTCCTTAATAATTGTTTTCTAGACTGAAAAGTTTGAAGTTATAGAACTTTTATATGCATTTTCCCTAATAGGAGGATATCTTAATATACTGTAAATTACTAAAGGGTCATTTGTCCAAATATTTAATGCCAAATCATCCTCTGTTCTCTATCACCAACGTTTGAAATATAAATTTTACATAAGTTAAAATAAAAATCTACTTTTCTTGGTGTATAGTTTTGAGTAATACACTTTTAAGATAGGAAGAGAAAGTGCTTTGTATTTTGCTCAAGTCTTAATGAGAGATAAATGTATGACAGTAGACATTTTTATGCTAATATTCGTTTCATTTGTTTTTATTTATGATTTATATCCCACCTTTGTTATTTTTACAAATAGCTTTAGCTGGCAAACATACCTATTACATGTTCCTTTTATTTTTCCCATAACAACAACCCTGTGGGGTGGGGTGGTTTGTGAGAAAGTGACTGGCCCAAAGTCACCCAGTTGGCTTTTGAAAGGAAGACTAGGGCTTTAACCACTAGAATTCTTCATTTCAATCCTATAGAATCTTCACCGTTTTTTTCCTCCTCACGTTGCTACTGATTAAATTCACCCAAACCCTTAACTAGTTTCAATTAAAAAGTGAATTACAATTTCTACAGATATTTTGTCCAACAACCATGCACCTATTAAAACCACAAGGAATACTATACAACCTGTGTGCATGTATTACACAATATATATTTACATTCATTAATCTAAATGTATTTTCCTTGTAAATAGAACCGAGTGCTGTCTATGATATTAAAGCCGAAAAGATCACACAAACATCTCTGAATTTAACATGGAAAAATAATGATACAAATTCATCAAATTATACTTATCAAATACATATTGATGGACCGGATCATTCTGATAATAAAACTTCTAATACAACCTTTTTATTAATTCATGACTTGAAACCTGGAACTTTATACAGGCTTGAAATATATGCACAGGTCAATGGTAGTCAAACCGAAGGAGATTCAGAAGGAACAAATGTTTATACAAGTAAGTGCATTAAATTCAGAAAGCTGGTGTATATTATTTTTTATGTATTTTTAAAAGAAAACTTACATTGGCTGCACATCTCACAGTGACTCTGGGCAGTTTACAGAAATATAACTCCAAATACAAAACCCATAAACTCTCCCCCCCCTCATGAGAACAATTGATGGGGTCCCCACATCCGTGGACAAACAATGTGCCTTTTAAATTAGTGTCAAGGTGGAGGTGAATCATTTCTGTAAGAATGATTTTTCCACATGGAAAGGGCTACCATGAAGAAGGCTGTTCTTCTGGGTAATGGATGGATCCCCTTAAGAGAAGGGGTCCCTGCCTCCCCACAATGGTGGATTGGGTAGAGAATGGGTGTCAAACTCGATTGTGTCATTGATGTGTCATGACATATCATGACTTTTTTGCCTTTGCGGAGCTGGGGTGGGCGTGGCCCACATCAATCCTATAGAATCTTCACCATTGTTTCCTCCTCACGTTGCTACTGATTAAATTCACCCAAACCCTTAACTAGTTTCAATGAAAAAGTGAATTACAACTTCTACAGAAGTTTTATGCAACAAGTCTCCCCCCTCATGACAACAATCAAACCATCCACTTGATAGGGTCCCCAAATCTGTGGGCAAAAACCATGTGCCTTTTAAATGAGAGTTATTTTTTCCACAAGGAGAAGACTGTTCTTGGTCCTACTGAATGGATCCCCTTAAGGGAGAGGATCTGTAACATACCCTGCCTCCCCACACTGGTTGATTGGGTAGAGCACGGGTGTCAAACTTGATTGCATGATGTGATGTGTCAGGACATATTGTGACTTTTTTGCCTTTGCAGAGCTCAGGTGGGTGTGGCCTTCATGTGAAGCATCTGGGATGTGGGGTGCCAGTTGGACACCCCTGGGGTGGAGCAATAACCTCTTAAGAAAATGGCAGACCACAGCATCCATAAAATGCCCTCCCATAAAGAAGCATTAATTACTGTCACAACCCACCTACATGTCACCTCTGGGGAAGCTTCCACAAGCCAGGGACATGGATTTGAACACAGGTGGTTGTGCCTAGATACAGGATGGCAAACCTGTGGCACATGGAGCCATTTGTCAGGGCACGCAAGGAAAGCCTCCGGAGGGCTTAAATTGGCNACTCACTCACTCACCCTCCCTCCCTTCCTCTACCTACCTACCTACCTACTTTTTTTAAAAAAAAAAGCCTCTTCAAAACCTTGGTGCGTCTTATACTCTGATGCATCTTATGCTCCGAAAAATATGGTAGTTAATTGTTATGGCTATTAAATGAGCTTTAACCATTATTATATCACTCTCCTTTTTCACCATCTAAAACTAAATGTAAACTCTTTATCTACATAAGCATATAATTAATTTCATTAATTTCAGGTGTGCTTGGATTCTTGTTAACATTTTATGTACTACATCAATATATTTTTAATTTATTTACTGGTAAAAGTATTTTTTTTTCACAGAACCCAGTCCAGTTTCTAGCATCCACGTTAACCATCTCAATTCCACATCAATAATTCTGACTTGGAAGAATGAAGATTTGACCTATATTTACAAAATACTTAACAAAGGACCTGGTTTTGTTAATGATATATTTTCTGATACTGGAAATATAACAGTCAGTAATTTGCAACCTGGAACATTATATAGCTTTGAAATAGCGGCACAAATAAATGGGAGCAGTATAACAGGAGACACACAAGAAATAAGTCTTTATACAAGTAAGTACATTAAATTAACAATGCAGTTAGCTTGATTCTTACTTGGATATTTTTATTTTGTTTAATTTTTACATATGTTAAATCTAGGTTACAATAGTAATATTTTGGGTTTTTTGGTAAAACGAGCCCACTCCTTTCTTTTTTAGAAAAAACAACATTCCATTTTTGGCATTTTATTTGTAAACGATAATGCCACAAAAGTGGATTTATCTTGGAGGAGTATCTTGTGCTTCTTACTGGCTCGCCACACCAGGCCTAATCCTATCATAATAAATCTCAGGTATTGGGTTGAGTGAGCTTAGAATTTTCTGTATAGTTGATACTATTGTAGCACTAGGGTAGTAATAATTGGGAAAAAATTAAGTTTCAACTCACACAAAAGAGATGTTTTTTTCTCATTTTTCTGTTCAGTGGAAGGAAACTGAAATAAAATTAGGCAAATACAATTGGAGGGTGGAGGTGGGGAATAAATGGTCAAATTATTATTCCATGTCTCTTTCACAGTTTATTTTACATACGGTCTTTGAAAACCTAAATAGAGTTTTGTATCTACCAGTCTAATTGACAATTTGGTACATATTCCATTCCTAATCCAAGATTTGAAAGAAACATGTAATTGTTTTACTTAAACTGAGCCCAGCTTTTCCGTCAACACCCAAAAGCATCAATAATTTGTCCTAATTTGTCAAATAAAATTATTAACTAGAGACATACTGTATGTTGTACAAATTAAAAAGTTACATTTTACATGATGATTTCTAACCTCCACAGAACAAAATCCTAAATGTTTAATCTTGATTATCATTCAGTATGTAAAAACTTTTTTCTCTTAAATAGAGCCCAGTCCAGTATATGATATTAAAGCCGAAAACATCACTACTACATCCCTGGATTTAAAATGGAAAAATAATGATAATAATTCATTAAGTTACACATATCGAATACATATTGATGGATCTGGTCTTTTTTATAATAAAACTTCTGATACTACCCATGTATCAATTACTCACTTGAAACCTGGAACATTATACAGGTTTGAAATATATGCACAACTCAATAATACCGAAGGAGATCCAAGTAGAATAAATGTTTATACAAGTAAGTACATTAAAATAAGAGATGTGATGTATGTTTCATTATTACATAAAATATTTATATAAAATAGGAAATTAGGTGTGATTTCATCTATCTGTATGTGCCCTGGTAGGTAAAAATTATACATTTCTGATAAAGAGTTGAACAAAAGAGGGTACCATGTATAGTATGCTGGAAAACTCTTTCCAGAATACTACACATGGAAGAACATAAGTACAGGTAGTCATCGAATTAACGAGAGCTCACTTAGTGACTGTCCAAAGTTACAATATCACTGAAGAAAATGACATGACTTTTTCACACATATTGCTGTTGTAGCATCCCCATGGTCACGTGATCAAAATTCAGACAATTGGCAACTGGTTTGTATTTATGACATTTGCCACGTCCCTGAGTCACGTGATCATCTTTTGCAACCTTCTGACAAGCAAAGTCAATAGGGAAACCAGATTCACTTAACAACTCTGTTACTAACTTAACAACTGCAGCCATTCACTTAACAACTC